AGCATGTGTCAATGGACAGAAGGACGGAGGGGCGGGAGTGGGGGGAGAGGACGTAAGACAGATAGCAACCAATTATCTCCGTTAATCAATCAATATTCGGTCTGTCCCAGGTAAACAGCCAGGAGATCTGAGTGCCGCGACCACGGAAATCACTGTGACCCCTGATGCCAGGGTGTCCAGGAGGCACAGAGAAAGGGGAATCCGTGTCGGGGTCCTTCTAGAGAGGGGATTCTGAGAATGGATGAAAAATGAAGACGGGGGGCAGAGAAAAGGGGACCTGGGAGACTCTGCTGCCTGGCAGGAGGGGAAGAGGAGCCAGCGCCAGACTCTCGCCTGGAGACAGACAGTGTTGGCATCTGGGGCCGGGTTCTCACCATCTTGACAATGCCCCGCTGCACGGTGGGGACCAGGGGTCCCCCGGAGGAGCCGCCGCTCTGCGCGGAGGAAGCCATGTGTAGATATGGAAAGACAGCAAGAGAGCCGGCTCGGAGGTGTCAATGTGGATGTCGGCGCTGGTGAGAGGCCGCTGAGCGAGGAGCGAGCTGGCGGCGAGTTGCAGACGAGGAACGGGACCGACGCGCCGGACGCTCGCAGGAGCAGCAGCAGCAGCAGCAGCGGGACTGGGATCGAAAAAGGAGACGCGATCTCCGCCGCCGCCACACGTTCTACTCGCCGCGCAAGCGTGCCAGAGCGCCCCCGCCCTCCGGCCAATGAGCACCCAGAGCCTGCTCGACCTCCAGCCAATAGGCACCCAGCTCGCGAAGCCCCGCCCCTTTGTCCCAAAAGTGGAGACGAACTCCAGGAAGCGCTGAAAGAGCTGATTTGCGGTGACGGGCTAAATCTGGGGCGGGACTTCCGGGGCAGCCTAGAAGGTAGTGTCGGGAGGTGTAGTGAGACGGAAAGGACACGTCAGCATCTGGCCGCGGGGCGCGGGCGTCCTTGGGAGCCCCAGGGGTAGGGCCAGCTTCGCCCACCGGCCTGGCCCCGCCCATTGCGCCCCGCCCTGCGGACCGGGGAGCCCACGTGGACGCCGGCGTTCCTGGAGGGCATCTCGGGATGGAGGCGTGCGGACCGGGAACCGGAGGCCAAGTCCTGGAGGGCTCTCAGCACTGGCTGCACACCGACTTCCGACATTTTAGCTCAACTAAAAGTATGGGGAGAACTTGGAAAAGTCTGAGCATCGTGAAACCTGCTCCCCGCCTTGGCCCTACCGCGGGACGCGGTCGCGCTTCCTTCCTGTAGTCGGGGTGTGTGTCGCTCGCACTTGGGTCCCCGGTGTCTAGCACTTGTAAAGCGCCCGGTTCATGTTTGCGGATGGAAAGAATCTTGTCGGGGGTGACGTGTCTTTACGCTTAGAAGAGCGACCCTCGCCCTTCGCGCCCTTGCCACCTGCGCCAAGGAAGTCAGGAAGAGCCTCGCTGCGAGCTGCCTGAGCCAAGGGCGGGCAGTCCCCTGCCCGGTGTGCGGAGCCCTGCAAGCCTCCCACTACCCACCCCCTCCCCAGCCCTAGTCTCTTTTGAATAAAGCAGTGATTCTCAACCTTCCTAATGCCGCGACCCTTTAATACAGTTCCTCATGTTGTGGTGACCCCCAACCATAAAATTATTTTCGTTGCTACTTCATAACTATAATGTTGCTACTGTTATGAATCGTAATGTAACTATATGATATGTAGGATGTATTTTCATTGTTACAAATTGAACATAATTAGAACATAGTGATCAAACACAAAAACAATATGTAATTATATATGTGTTTTCCGATGGTCTTAGGCGACCCCTGTGAAAGGGTCGTTCGACCCCCAAAGGGGCCGCGACCCATAGGTTGAGAACAGCTGGAATAAAAAGATTGCGGGAGGGATGGGAGGGGGGGGCAGAGCATACAAATATTTAAATTATCGTTTAGAGACAACTAATATTCGTCGAGTGCCCACTAAGTGGAGCCAAGGACCTTAGGAATTATGGCATTTAATCTTAATCTGTAAAACCTGGTTCTGCACCAAAGACACCACTTAATCCTGTAGTTCTTTTGAGAAGAGGTTGCTAATTCCCCCACTCTTCACACATCCCGGTTCAAATGTTGGGGTCAGCATCTCCATAGCACAGCTCAAAGTATGGTAGCTGGTTCCCATCAGAGCAAACAAGTGAGAGAGCAAGAGTGGACAAGCAAGACAGAGGCTTTTATAATCTAACCTCAGAAGTAACATCCCATCACTTCGCTATATTCTATTCATTAGAAGAGTCCGGACCACACTCAAGGAGGGGGATGACACAGGGATAAATACCAGGGACAGGATCATTGGTGATCATTTTAGAGGTTGCCTACAGCACACACTGTTCTTTAACTTTAAGTAGAATTCAAAGTCCCTGAACCTCTCTATCCTCTTTGTATCTGTTCCCTTTACTGAGAATTTCTTCTGTTAACCCAGTCAAGTTCTCCAACTCCATTGGGTCTGGTTGTTAGTTTCACTAAGTCTTTTTTTTTTTTTTTTAAGAGCAGTTTTAGGTTCACAGCAATATTGAGAGGAAGATACAGAGATTTCCCCTATACTTCCTGCCCATACACTTGCATAGCATTTCCCATTATCAGCATCCCCCACCAGAGTGGTACATTTGAACTCACATTGACACATCATAATCACCCAAAG